ACCTCCCCTCGCCTCATCCCATCCCTTCCATCAACTAATAACTACCTCCACTTTTCAGACCGGAGGTAGACCCGCAGGCTCATGCACAGCTGCGCTGTTCCTTAAAGCCTTCGCTGAGGGCGCCAGCCCCGAAGAAGGTAAAGAACCAGAGATGAAATGGGCGCACATAGATATTGCTGGATCCATGGAGGTTCGTTTCTTCTTCATCTTCGTTACTCAAATATGTGCTCACGTCTTCGCTTTGCCAGGCTACGAGGCCCACGCCGTACCAAGAAAAGGGTATGACTGGTCGGCCTGTCAGGTGAGACTTGGTTCGTATACTCAGTGGAACCTGGATTAATGGAGGGTTTATAGGGCGTTGGTTGAGTATGTAACGCGGCTTGCTGGGGCGAAGTAAAATTACAGATTGGGATTACGGAGGCAAGTTGGTAAAGTCTAACATGAAATCAAGCTTCAATGTTGCGACACCACAAAGGGCTTAAATTCAAAGCAAAAGATATTCTTGTACATATATTATGAGCAATGCGCACAAAGCTGTGACGCACACTCTGAAGGCGGATCTGGGTATTCCTGGAAGTGACATGAGATATAGCAACTTTCTGCTCCCAAGAATTCAGACTTTCTATTCAGGCAAGACTAAAAATAGTGCAACCACGACCGTGGATTCCGGTTTGTTGGTGAAAAAACGACAGTGTTTGGATTGGAGTGGAGTGGGGAAGAGTAGGGAGATATGGGGTAAGGGGGATGGCGTCACAAAAAAAAAAAAACGGCGCAAAGCCTTGAGAGAAAGCTACAAGAAATATCACAAAGTGCAAATCTCTTGAGGGGGTATAATTATTCACTTCCTTAGTCGGCATTTTTCAAAGTCACCAGCGCCATCGCTTCGAGCATACTCTTGACTGTCCACAAACGCCTCAAGCAGACACAAACCATCACCAGCTCCACAAAATTCCAGTGGCTGCAATGCATCGTTCACCAATATCCTGACATACTTTTTCCCGCGGTCCGCGCAACTAAGCCTTTCCGTCACCATTCTCCCACTGAATGGTACCAGGTGACTCGCTACCCAAGTTCTTCCTGGGTTAGGCTTTGTCGGATCCAGGGGTTCGGGCTGCTTGAACAGACCTATAGCAGAGTAGATAGCGATCAACTCGTTATCGTGCGAGAAGTCGGCGTAGATCGTATGGTTGAGCGGGAACGTAATGGGAGAGGAATCCAGGGTTCTATTTGTTTGCGTGTTGTCGCGAACAGGCATTCCCGTAAGGCGCGCCAGGAGTTCATTGACGTACCCAACCCCTTGGACGGGGCCCAACGCCTGGCCATATCTGGTACAAAAGTTGGCACTTTGACGACTTCAAAAATATGAGGCGTACCCGGTTCTATAATACTTTTCCAAATCCATGTAGTACTCATAATTCTGGAACTCTTCTTTGGTGAAAAGAGCACAGAAGGGGCTCTTCTTTTCTGTCGCTACGGTTTCAAATGGGCAGAGCGGCATGAGGTCGGGGATATCCTCCGGAAGAAGATTGGCTCCAGGGGCGACTAAGTTAAGTCTCGCGGCAACGGGGTAACCATAAATGCGTGCCCAGGCGTCCGTCTGTTCAGAAGGTTCCCCCGCGTTTGGACACATCTTGTTAGTCAGAGTACAATTTCCCTGACCGCAATTCATCAGCCAAATTCTGTTTTTCACGAAAAACCTCACATGTTCAGAGATGATCACAGATAAGCTGGGGTTGTAAACGTGGTGGCTCGCAAGCGAGAACCCTGTAGATCCAGGAAATAGAAGGCGTGATAAAGGGGTGATTCTAACTGTGTACCTTGAGTCCATTTCCTAGCAGATTTCACAACCCTTTTGCTGCTTGCCGCCCTTACGAAAGGGAGGTCCTTTTTCGAGATTAAATGCTTGTATCGCACGTAAGATTCCCCACCGGCCTGCAATGATCTAACAATAATTAGCAGATAATGACTCATTGGAGGCGATAAGAACGCACTGCATTGCACCAAATGGAACAAGATCATCCGTTCCGAGAGAATACGTGTAGCTTTTTAGAAAGTCAAGTTTCGGATCCAAATATTCTTCCGCTGACTGAAGTTTCGAGAGAGCGCCAGCTATGCGCGCTGCGGCATCCACTGTTGGGAAACGGGCACCGTGTCTCTGAATCTGTTGTCTAAACTGTTGAGATCAAATTCCAGGCCCTCTGGAGCAATACTTGCGATATTAACCTAAAATAATAAGGATGAGAACGGAGTACGTGAAGAATCACAAGGCATACTTGATCTATTTGACATCCAATAGGCGGGGGTGGATATCCTTCGACAGGAAAATATGGATTGTATGCCGCCCAAGAATAGTCCTTGTTGGACGGATATTGATACGTTAGTTTCGAGGTGCGACAAAAATGGTTGGAGGACCAAAGAATGAGGAGACAAGGGAGCGCGAGGAGGGTAGCGAAGAAGGGCCAAAACCGACGCCTTTTTTCTTTCCTGTCGGGGTCCCCTTCAAGAAGATCCGTGTCGCTCCGAGACTGTCCTGGCCCCGTTGGCAAGGGAGCATAACCTTGAGAATGACTTGAAATTGGATGTGTTATGTGCTCGAATTCGTCAATCGGGAGCTTTTCACTTCTCCTAGTGGAGACTTTCAACGCGTTGAGCATTGTCGTCCGAGCGGGATGTATGGTGGATGTCAAAGGGTATTACGATCCCGCTGTCAACTTGATCAACGAAGTGGCGCACGCCAGAACATCTCGTGACTTGTTGCTATTATTGTCATTCAATCTAATCTGAGGGCCAATGCTCAAGCGCTCACAGAGTACATCTGTGCAAGGGATATTTTCTAAGCCAGACAGCCCACTCTGAAACCGGAGCAGACATTTCTGACATTCAAAAAATACACTTGTAATTGTGAGATAAAGGCGTTGGACATATGTTCAGGCAACGCGGGGAATTGTAGACGCAGTCGATAAACACATGCACACGCTCCGCGTATACTCCGTACTACTTGCTTAAAACGGGGGAAAGCCATGGTGGGCCCAGAAGTACCCCACCAAGCAAAACTTTCGACAACCAGGCCTTGTCAACACAAAAGAACAAGCTGGAGAGTTATATCATACGTTCAAACTTCGTTGGGAGTCTGAGGGCGGCCTCCGAGCTCCGAGTAGAGTACGTCAGGACCGTCGACAGACCCAGGCTTGTTTCCATTCCGGCGTTCTTGTTTGAAGTGATTGGAGATAAGGAACGCAACGTCTGAACAGGTCAGCGAAACAATATGAGAAATAGGTCTTAGAACGACATACCAAGGCTCTGCTCGAAATTGAGTCGTGGGTCACAGAACGACTAGATATTGACGAGATTTTAAACAAAGCCACCAGGGCGCGGAGAGAGGTACACACCTGATACCTCAATCCAAGTTCCTCCTCCGAGAGCTCCATACTCCCCCCAACACATTCAGTAACACTAAAGCCCTCTTCGTTTAACTCCCCAGTAAATTCAAGACTTACACCTCCAAGGCGAGAATTACACGCATTATGGATTCTGAGACACGCAGTAAGCTCCTCGATGATGGTACCAAAGTTCCTCGTCTTCAACCCACTACTGGAGGTCAGAGTGCTAGGATTAGAAGGTTTAGAGTCAAGTAAGGTCGAGATCATCAGATCCAAGCACACAACTTACTTCCCATGCATTGGATCGCATATCCAAGCGACTGGATGGCCTGATTTTTGGACGGCGCTGATGTGCCCGGCAAGGTGGTCGTCGATCTGTATTCAGAATTAGATAGGGGTAAATCGAAGAGCCATCGGTCCATACCTTCCGAGCCCCGTAGCGCGTAATCAACGTCACCCTTCCAGTCTCCTTGTCTGGATTGACGACTAGAGTATGTATAGTCAGTGGAGGGAAATGTGCTAAGAATAACACGATTCACTGTCCAGAAGCCTGCTCAGCTCGCCAGCTTCCATGCTAGGTCCGACTTTGATCCCAATGGGATTCCTGATTCCCCTAAAGTATTCCACGTGAGCACCCGTGAGCTGGCGAGTGCGGTCCCCAATCCAAAGGAAGTGTGCCGAGGTATTATAGTAATGCTTCTTCTTCGAACTCGTGAATTCTCGGGTGAGCGCTTCTTCGTAGGCGAGCATTAAGCCCTCGTGGCTGTTGGTTAGTTTATTTGGTTAGCCGAAAAGCGCGAAAGCATGCCGTGCACCTAGTGTAGAAATCCACTTCTCCGAGTGTTCCTCGTCCCCCACCTCGTTCGTACGACGTGCTATTCGACTCCACTCCTATCGTGCGACTGAAATCTAGAGCGTCCGAAAGACCGTCTACGATAGTCTCAAACTCGCGTCTGCGTGGCTAAGCTTCTGTATGACAATAAACTTGATGGTCGATAGTGCTCACCGTAAAGATGGAGAGCGGACATGGGTTAACGACCAATCCCGAGGATGGTGCAGAGAGGCAAAGCCAGATGTGAGAAGGCCACGGAGGTAGTTCAACGTTGTCGTCGAATGAAAGTAAGCTCTGTACAAGTGAGACGCGTATCATCATTGAAAAGAACCTCCACCTGCCGAAGGAGACGCTCTGGATCTGGGGTGCGGTCGTTGACGTCCAGTCTTTTTTTTGCGTTTTAAGGGTTGGCCGAATTGTCAAATAAACTACGTACCCGTTTACATTGTCACCTCTTCATATCACGTCAGCCCGAGGAAATCAAGTAAAAAAGGGTACGATCCTCACCTGAAACTCAGTACCTCTCGGCCACCTACGTTTTCGAAACTGCTGCTACGTGGTTTAGCGTACTGGCCTGCGATTCGCCCGACTCGGACCTTGTGATCTCCGTGGTTAGTGTCAAAATGTAGACAAATAGCGACGTACAACAGGCAAACGGGCGCCCCAGACGAGAATCAACGAGAAAGACAAGATAAGGCCGATTTTCGAGGAGATATTTTCCTAGAAGCATGAGAATGAATAAGAATGAAAGAGAGTAATGCAGGGGTGACGTACGTGTGTGCACGCGTCGAAACTCTCGGCACAATCACCCGCATGAAGGAGGAAAGCCTCATTGCGCTGAACGAGGCCGAGTTGATAGCGCAGCCTCTCGATCTGAGGTTGGGATCTCAGTCAATCAGTAAGAGATCCATGTAGCTCTTTTTCGAACCTCTTGTGGAGTAACGATGGGAGGCAGCGTGGAGAGCTTCGAGAGGACGCTAAGGAAGTGGTGAGCCATGTCGAGATTCACCGATCGGCACCATACGTTGCTAAATGTTTTTCGTCCGGATATTTGACATCCTACCGACTTGTCAGCTCGTTCCTCAGGCGATAAGATGTCATGGCGTACCTGTGCAATCGGTTTCTCTCTCCAGGAGGACGGCAACCAGGTATCGGACATATTGGACGGTAACAAAAGAACAAAAAAAACTTGATCGTTCTGGTTAGGGTTTTGATGAATAAGCGGTCGGTGTTTCAACAATTTTGGACCCACCTTCGACCCACAAGCCTGCAGCAAAGCGTGGTTTGTCACAGCTGTGAAGGTGGTACTAAGGAAAGGCCGGTTTTCGAGGAGAGGCAAGTCTTCTGCGTCTGCTGGTCTGGGGATAGAAGCACATTTTTGACGTACAAAGATGAACAGCGAGCTTCGACCTTCTCTTCTCATCATCCTCAGCGAACGACGGGGATAAAACAGCCTCACTGCAGGTAAACGAGGTAGTAGTGAAAACTGATTCGTTCGATCTGTGCAGATTCAGTTGAGTAAAGATAGATTTCAATCGTGCGGAGATCCACGTAGGTTTATGCAGTGCGCCTTTGGACCTGTTTACACCTCAAGGAAATTGGGCGAAGTTAAGAATCCGTAGCAATCTTCTGTTTGTTTTGGAAATTTACGAAGGTCGAAGAGTCGAGCCACAATCAATCCTTTTTACTCTTACAGCACTGATATTGTGCTAACCAAGCTGTCATTAATGGTGTCGCGGCGGGAGTTACGGACGTAGAGATGATAGCCTTTTCAAAGGTGGTGGCTTCGAGTGAGAAAGCGTATCCTCGGAACGGAGGACAGTGATCGGCAGTTACCGACGCAGAATGAGACTCCGCAATGTGGAACGACAATTTTGTTTTTTCATTCAGCCACACTCATCTCCCGTGGACCAGTCGAATTCGAGCAGAAGGTACACATTTATCTGGGTAAGATCTTATAAATCGGCGGGGATATAGCGACCTCAAACGACTCGCCTTTCAGATGCCGCGGAATGGCAAGACAACTATCTTGACGGCATCGTTTGTGAGTAATGACAATGCCTAAAAAGATCCACAGCGAGAATCTATTTGACTTGAAGAAGTACTGATGTAAAGAAGGGCCAAGATTGGGGGGAGACGACGGAAATTGGCCGTCTTACATGCTTGACTAACTTTTGCTGCCTTGTATAAATAGGAAGTTGTTGGTTTGACCTTCTCCTATTCGTCTCCCTCATCCTCACAGCTCCTCTCTCTCGCGCAGTCTGTCTTCGTAATCATGTCCGCTGCTAGGGTCGTTCTTGTCATCATTCAAGCCCTATGCAATCACTTCGCCTGCACACCTCCGAACCCTACGCCGTCGAAGGGTCGTTATCACACCGATGAAATGTATATCCTCCAAATAGCGCCATTAATTTTCAAAGTATGATATCTCTATGATCGTCAGCCAATAGCTAATGTTTCTTTCTCTCTGTCTTTTTTTTTTAGTGCCATCAATTCATTGCTTGGGGCTGTGCCGTTTTTGAAGTTCTCTTCTATCTCAGAACCACGGTCCCCATCTCCTCACCAGCGCCGTTTGCCACCTCCATAGTTTGCCTTCCAGAGCAGCCTAACGTCCGCTTGACACCTTTTTTCGTCATTGGCGTTCTAGCAGTCGTTCTAGGAGCGTACATCCGCCTGGACTGCTTCCGCACGCTAGGACAAATGTTCACCTTTGATCTGACAGTCCATCCCGACCACAAGCTCGTCACCTCTAGGTTCTACGCGTACGTCAGACATCCCGCCTACACAGGCTCTCTTCTCCTTGTGTTTGGTCTGGCGTTCTCCCACCTCACCAGGGGAAGCTGGATGACGGAGTGCGGTCCGTTGAGACCGACCGGGAGCGCCATTGTTGTTTGGGCCGTTTGGTGGTTGTGGACCTTTTGCGTGGGGATAAGCAGGGCAGATGCTGAGGATAGGCAGATGAGAAAACTATTTTCGGATGAATGGGACCTCTACGCGGCGGACGTTCAGTGGTGGTTTTTCCCTGGACTCATCTGAGAAATGAACGACGTATGTGTCTTAGATTTCTGTGGCCCCTGCGCATTTTTAACATTTCAACTTGATAGATTTACGACATTGTATGGCTCCGACACAAAACAACGAACTCTACTTCATCTGCGAGTTTGACGATCCATAGACAACGATTTCTTTTACGAATTTTTATATCTAGTTGCGATAAATACTGTCCTATTTTTTCTGTTTTCTTTTGAAAGTGAAGATTCGTCCGTAAAGGAAGCGACTCAAAATTTGATCCCCGCCTAAACGTACCTCTGATCACATTTCATCACCGAGTTTCATAATGAAGGTTTGGTCGCTCAATTGGCCTTCAATAGCACACATGTCCCATATTTTCCACGAAATTCCGAAGGGGAGAAGAGAACACTATCTAACAGGCATGTTGAGACCCTCAACGAGTCGAAAAAAAGTGGGCTAGTTTACGATGTAGGACGATCATCAAGTTGATGGAGACTTAAACTTACTTTGAAAGGGCATTCGTCACCTCGATTTACGGATGCTTGCTTGTTGAACCCCAGGTGTTCGTTACGAGCTAGCAGATGGAGGTGACGTGGCCGTTTCTAGCCTATGTCCTGCCACCTTTATTTTACTACACCTTGGGCGACTTACTCGATCTCAAAGGCTAACGTGTTCGACCCGTATCCTGGGTACCCTTCCACCATTTGATTGTCACGCTATGTCAAGCCCTTATTGTTCACGACCAACTACAAATCAAACTCCCTCTTTCTGTGTTGTACATGATCTCGTTACGCGTTTCGGCTTCCCATTATTTATATCCAGTAATGCGCCGCGGAGACTCCGTTCAATTCAGGCAAAAGGAGAACAAATGGTTAAAGTTAGTCCGTATGAAAAAATAAAACAACTGATTACTCGATGTGGTGCTAACATCCGGCGGGGAGGACAGGGGGGTTGGATGCGCTCGGAATCTCTAGCTTACCGGCGTACGTTGTGCACCTCTGCAACGCTGCGCTCCCCCAAACATTAACGATTCCAGGTAACACTGTTCTGCCGTTAACCACCAAGGAGGTGTTCGGAATCGGCAGCGGAGCTGTTGTTTTGGAATTGAACACCCCGGGGTAAGAACCATTCAGGAAGGTCTGGCTTAACGGTGGGTTTTGCAACGTGCGTATGGTATCGTGAGTTCTCTGGGCGACGAAGGAGAAAACGTTCGCGCCGACGTCATACCGCCCAAGGGTGTGAAGTCCCCAGTTGGCCTCGATAGTTGAAATTTCGGAGTAGTGATCGTAGAAGTTGGAATCGGTTGTACCAATGAGATTAGAGGGGATCGCCGATCCCAAGAGGATGGCTCTGACTCGGTTCTGTTTGCCGTAGGTTTCATTTTCATCAAAAGCTGTGAAATGGTCAGAGGAGAGATGAATATTAGATGTCATGGCGGACTTAAGAGTACGAGCGTTCGGTCGCCATTAAAGTTGGTGTTAGACAACAGTGGAGTGAGGAACCCTTTGACCCATTTGGCGGCAAAAGTAACGTTGGTGTCATGACCGTCGTTGGCTGTGTGGTTCTGTCAAAAAGAGTGGACATTTTCAGTCGAATGAACGCACTCATGTTTGGGGTAATGAAGATCCATTGAGGAAGCTTCCCTGCAGCCAGATCCTGTTGGAACAACGTGAAATTTTTAATATTGGCGCTGCGGGCAGGGTTTCCCGATACTGAATTGTAAACAATAAGTGGACTTGGGGGAATTGCATCACATGGTATTCAATACGAGAGACCTAACCAAGAAACGCACTTGTGCTTTCGGACATAATCGTTTGCCCCAGTCCTTGGATTCAAAAACTGCAAACCCGTAAAACCAGTGGATGGCATGTCCTCTTCGTACTCGGCCCAGGTGATGCCTTTGTCCTCAAGCAAGTCGACGATTGTGGATACATTCACTGGAATGTTGTTCAGGTTGTCGTTGTCCATTCCGAAGTATTCCCCGCCGACAGAAGCGACATAATTCGGCTCACTGGGGTGGGTGAGGGCGAAGTAATTTGTCAATTCAATGCCTTGGGAAGCGAGAGCTGAAAGGTTTGCTGGAGGATAAAACGTCTATGAATAACTAGCCCAAACAGAACAAGTGAATTCTTACGGTCAGCCATCGCGGAACTGAAGTCCGTGTTCTCCAACCAGATGGTAACAAATCGATCGAAGGCCTTTCCCGGAACAACAGAGAGTTTGGAATGTTTTGAATCTCTGGTGATGTCGGGCGGGGGGTATTAGAATGATCATACCTCCTGATAAACGAGAGAAGTAACGTACGGCGATGAGTTGGCGAACGCATTTAAAATGCAGCCTGCCAACAGGAATGCAACCAACTTGGCTAAATGCATTTCAATATTTCAATGGCAAGTTGGGGCAGGAATTGTTCTACTAGTTATATACGGTGGATGAGCGAAGCGCTCGACGAGCATGTGGTCCGATACGCACGTTTCAAAGTTCAGAGCAAAGGAGTAGAAGAACGATCCCACGAGGTGTGTTTGCTTGGGAATGATGTGTTATAAAAATAGACGTCAGCTCAGGGTGGTCGTGATGGAGAAGTCGAAACTTCCAACGTGAGCTGGCGGCTGTGAGGAGTGCCGACACCTGCCGACGCACACTGAGCAATTTCGCGGGATCTTGATGCTTATGGCCGCCCACGTTCGCGTGGAGATATTATTGAGGGTGAATGAGATATTGCTTGGGAAGGCAGCGTTACAGCTGAAAGCAGAACGATAGGACACGGCAGATCGACACATGCTCAGGGCGGACTCCCAAAATTTCAAAGCGACGTGATGGCTGGGGCCGCTGAGTTCTCACAACGTGTTAAATTTCAACCTCCGAATTGATGTCACGCTAGTACCACAATAAAAGTTGAGAGTCCGCCCTATGTGTGTATCGATCTGGCATGGCCTATCGTTCTGCTTTCAGCTGTAACATTGACACCTAGAGGACATACATACATCGGGAGCTTGGCACAAAATCTTACTAATACTATGCTATAAAACATGCATATGGTTGGCTATTAAGAGAAAAGACAGGAAATAAGCCCGTGTGGAAGAAAGAATTCCAAAAGTAATTCGGGTACGGGGAATCGAACCCCGAGCTGCCGCGGGAATCGGGTCGCAGGAATCTGAGAGGCGGCAATGTTAATTGGTGTTGCACAATCCTTGGTAAGTGTGATGACCAGTGACATGCCGTGACATAGCGTCACAGGGCCAATTTCTTGAGACATGGACTTTGTACCTTCCACAACACCAATCCAATATATTTTTTGCAGTGGGTTTGAGGGAATGATGTGATTGAATCCACTGAGAGAGTTTTCCATGTAGAAATTGTATTTATTGCTCCAAAAATGCGAAATCAGCTTGTTTTCCCTGCCAAATTTGGCACTCTGGAGAGATT